ACTGCCGAGAGCTGGGGATGTGTCAGATCCTGTCCCCCATGCATCCATGTGGGCTCTCTGACCGTTCACAGCTGCAGCATGATATCAGTCACAATGGTAATGGGAGATCTGCAAAGGGAAGACAGCCAGCTGACACTGATCTATCTGGGACCCACCAACAGTTATCCACCCTGCCCTTTACATTCTCTGCATGAAAGCTGAGAACAGTGTGTGTCACTTTCCAACAGCAAACAGTTGATTGCTAACTTTGTCATTTCTTGAAATTCAAGTTTTTACTGGAGTGTATTTGAATGATTTTCAATCTGTTTCATGGAGAACAGAATGGGTTCACAAAGAAGATATGGAATGTTATTCAGTCAGGGCAGATTGGGCGGGGTGGGGGGCTGCGGAGGCGGTGATTATAGACAGGCCACAGCTCTGTCTGCTGGGAGGGAATACAGCACAGGGGGAGTTTACTAACGTGGGGGCACTGTCTCAGTGGAACAGAGGGGATTCAGTGGTGATTCCACAGAGGTGGTTCAAAGTAGGATGAGACGTCTCTGTAAACAAGGGGTTGAATCACCAAGGGAGTGGGAGGGGCTGGTAAGGGAGCCAGGGCTGTTCAAACCCTGAAAAATGCTGATGGATTTCCTCATCATCCTGACCCCAGTTACCCTAATTTTTTTTAGCAGGGCAGATTTGGAGGTGAAAGAGAAACTCTGGCAGAGCTATCAGGTCGGCATTTAGCTATTCAAATTTTGATTTGTAGATTGAATGTGGCATTCTGGTCTTCAATGCCCAGTGTATGGATGTAGTGATCTGTGTGGAAACGCTGACAGGCACAGCACAGAGATATTCATTAATGAAGTAGACAAGCTGGTCACTCATTAAAGACTGACCGTCCATAGCTGCTGGCAAGTATTCCACCAGGTTACAGGCAATTTCACGGGTTCTGCCAGTGTTTCCCCTGGTCAGAGCCTCCCTTGCCTCACACCAGCAAACCTGGCAGTGACAGCATTGGTCCCTGCTGAAGGAAAAGTGACAGAAGCAGGCACAACGAAGACTGACCCGAAAACCATCACCAATACCAAAACCATTACCCACACCAAAGCCGTCACCCACACAAAAACCATCACCCATACCAAAACCGTCACCAATACCGAAACTGTCACCCACACCAAACCATCACCAACTCCAAAACCGTCACCCACACCAAAACCATCACCCACACCAAAACCGTCACCAACTCCAAAACCGTCACCCACACCAAAACCGTCACCAACTCCAAAACCGTC